TACACTAAAGAAATCAAGAATTTTTACAATAAACTACTATGAATCTATGATACATGGAACACAACATATTTAATCATATTATGATATACATATAATTATTAAATTTCAAAATCATATATAAAATTATACGGAGTAATAATGTTGTACATCTGCTCATTAGTATTTTCGATATTAAGTAGAATGTTTAAAACCCTAGAAGACAACGATAGATTATTTATAGACTTCTCAGTTTCAATTCAGCATGTAAAATCTGTCAACTTATTAAGATATGTTACTGACATAAACTGCAATTCAAAACTGATAAGATTATTTATAAAATTATACAGAGTTATAAGGTTGTACATCTGCTCATTAGTATCTTTGACATTAAGTAGAATGTTTAAAACCCTAGAAGACAACGATAAATTATTTATAGATTTCTCAAATTCAATTCAACACGTAAGATTTGTCAATTTATCATAATATGCTACTGACATAAACTACAATTCAAAACCGACAAAAATCTCATAAAAAGACAATTGTTTAATCATGTTATATATACAAAATACAAGTTAACCAAAACATTACGAATACGCTTCTAAAATTACCCATTACTTCATCACACAAAATTTAAAGACGTTTTTATTCCTCCATGTTAATTAATAAAACAAACTCTGTAAAACTAATTACGAAAAATATAAGTTGTTTATCAAAATAATCTTGGCCAAATAACCCCTTAATCCTACCATATTCTCTCTCATAAAAACAGAAAAAAGAATCAGCTTAAAAGAAATGTAGAAGAGGATGGGGATCGAGGAGGAAGAAGCACAAATCACGTTCATCCCTCGCATCTTAAAGAAGCAAACGACACTAATTATGCCTTCTTTCAAACACTACACTCACATTTTACACAACCCATCTCAAAAAGCTCATTATTAAGGATTTCTTTCCAAACTTGCAAGTTACTAACCTCCCTCCCTCTTTCTCCGTCAACCGCAAATGGTACCTTTTTAAGATTTGCCTCGTTTTTTTTCCATTCAAAAAATCCCTCTTTTCCTCCTTTTTTCCAACCACAAACTCCCACACCAAAACCTGGGCACGGGCCGGGTTGGCCCGCGTGCCGCCTGGCACGGCACGGCACGAAGTTCAACTTCCGTGCCACTGGCCGTGCCACGGACACGGTTGAGAATTCCCAGGCACGGCCCGGCACGAGCACGGGCATGGCCCGCCGTGCTGGCCCACAGGCACGGCCCGCGGGCCAACGGTAATATTACCGTTTCATGTAGCTAGAAGCCAAAAAAACGGCTATAAAACGGCTAGTTTTTTGCCAATTTGCTCCCCAAAAATTCTATAAATACTCACCTCCATTTCATTCCCAAATCACAAAATCACAATCTCTTCTTCTTATCTCTTATATTCTCTAAATCTCTAATAATCCTTATTTTCTTAAATTCTCTAATTATTCTCTTAAATTCTCTAATTATTTTCCTAATATCGGAAAAAATTAAAAAGTTCGTAATCGTAATTAGTGGAGCGTTGAAGCACGGTTGTAAAATCTAAACTAATCTTAAATTTATTATTGTTTTATTGTTATTATTAGAATAATCTTGTTTAATTATTATTGTTGTTAATTGTTATTGTTGTTGTTATAATTGTTGTTATTAATTATTATTATTGTTACAATTGTTGTTATTATTTATTTTTGTTGTTATTGTTATTGTTAATAGTTGTTGTTATTAATTATTATTATTGATATTTTTATTGTTAAAATTGTTGTTATTAATTATTATTATTATAGTTAACCACTTTTTATTAAAAAATTAATTGTTAATTATGGTATCGAACAACCCATCATCTAGGTCTAGGGGGAAAGGCCGACTTATCCGTAGTAGTAGTTCTAGGGAACCACCAAATACAACGAGCCCCCAAATTACGAGTCAAACCAATGACCCCATTTACTTCCCCCCGGGCTATGAGCCATATAATACGTCGGGATTTCCAGCACCACCACTAAACCAATTTCCACTACCACCATACCAATTTCCACCTAATTATATCGGTAATCAACAAAACTATTGTTCTAGCCAAGGTAGCCAAGAAAGTACCCGAATTCCCTCCGGTTCTACCCCTTCTACTGCCACTCCCACTAGTCCCACTACTAACCATCACACACATCATGAATGGTTAACCGAAACTGAGATGCTACTTTTGAAAAACCGAAGGAGTGAGGTATGGCGTTATTTTGTCCTAAGTAAAGATGGTGAACAATGGGCAAAATGTAAAACATGTAATAGTGTATTCACGGCAGTTACCAAAAACGGGACGGGACACTTATCTAGACACATGAAAGCTTGTGCAAAACCAGCTAGTGATCCAACCCATCCCAAAATTTCCCAATTCCATCCATACGGCTTTACATACAACTATGAGAGGGATAGGGATGAACTAGGAAAAATGATAGTACACGCCGAACAACCTTTTCTTTTCTCGGAAAGTGACGCATTCAACACCTACATTAACAAAGCACTACAACCCCAACATAAAAGAATCTCTAGGAAAACCGTTCGTTCCGCCGCAATGAAAAATTTCCTAGAGTACAAAGTCCGGTTACAAGCCGAATTGAGTAACCTTAACTGTAGAGTATCTTTAACAGCCGATTCTTGGGATAGTGGTTATAAATATCACTATTTATGTGTGACTTGCCATTGGGTAGATGATCAATGGATGTTACAAAAAAGAATAATACATTTCAAAATGCTGGAATACCCACACACCGGCATTAACATTGCTCACCATTTAATGCAAGCAATAGACGAATACAACCTTCGAGATAAAATGATGTCTATGACTTTTGATAATGCAACCTCTATGACATACCTAGCTAATCTTATCAAACAAAACTTAACCGATGTACTATTAGACGGTGAAGCTCTTCATACTAGATGTGTTTGCCATGTACTTAACTTATGTGTACAGGATGGAGTTCGGGCAATTGGCCCATACTACAGCAAAATCAGAGATGCTATTATGTCTATTAATAGCTCTAACATGAGATACCAAGAATGGAAGAGTTTTCTAAAACAACAAAAGATAAGGGTAATAAAAATTAGAACCGATTGCCCAACTAGGTGGAATTCCACCTATGACATGTTAACAAAGGCAATTGAGTACAAGGGCCCGTTAACATTATTTTACAACCAAAAATTTCCACAAAATGCTTTGTATGATGATGATTGGAAAAACTGTGAAAGATATATGCAATTTTTACAGTTATTATATAACATGACGTATTATTTTTCTACTGTTTACAATCCTTGTGCTCAAAACTTTCTTTCTAATGCATGCTTACTCGCCCAACTTTTCGCTGATCATCGCGATCAAAGTGATTATGATCAGTATCTTCCAGCAATGGAAAAAAAGTGGCGTAAATATTATAGTGAGATTCCTTTGATTTATATTTTTGCTTCCATATTAGATCCTAGGCAAAAGTATGAAAACACATTTATGTTAGTTGACATTTACTTTCAATGCATGTTTCTTGACGATGATGTAGAAAACTATAAGACTAATGTGAAGGATCAGTTTTTTGCTTTATATAGAGTCTATGAAGCCAAATATGGCACCGTTCCTCGCTCAGGGCCTTCCCAACCATCCAAAAACGTAAGTAAGAAGGCCAAACATTTATTTTCACAAGCTACTAACTTGATTTCAAGGTTTTCAGGTGATTCATCAATCAGGAGAACGCAAAGCGACGTCTCGGAGTTGCAGATGTACCTGAGTTACGACTTCACCAAAGGCATGGACGACGATGAGATAAACAGCCTCGACCTCCTTGCATGGTGGAAACAACAAAGCTCGAAGCATCCAACTTTGGCGGCAATGGCACGAGACATTCTTGCTATCCAAGTTTCCTCCGTCGCCTCCGAACGAGCTTTCAGCGCATCCGGAAGGGTTTTAGACGATAGAAGAACAAGTCTAAAACCCGAAACACTAGAAATGTGCGTGTGTTTCAAAGATTGGTTGGATGCGGAAAATCGCTCACAAGACCGTTCTTACGACCACAACGACAACGAAGAAGGAACCTCCGCTTCCGGTTCGGGTTCGGCTAGTTCCCAATCTATGCAACTAGCCGATGACCTTGAAGGCGAAGGCGAAGACGAAGACGAAGACGAAGACGAAGACGAGCAAGAAGAAGGAGAAGAAGAATAGACAATTATTGTATATTGTACGATTTTAAAAATATCAATTTTATCATTTTCCAATTTTTGTTTAATACCATCATTGTATGATTTTTATCATTGTTATCATTGTACAATTTTCTCAACTCAAGTAATAATAATATAAAGTACGCATTATTCACATCCAAAGTCCAATTTGCCTTTTTCCCCGTTTTGTTACAATTTGTAAATTCATATTAAAAAAAAATAAAATTATACCAATTACTAATAAATCATAAACATTAAATTTTAAAGTAATAGTATAAAGTAAATATATAAATATAAATATTGAATATACAAATTATAAAACATAAATATTCAACTTATAATTATAAAATTCATAACTTAATAACTTATAACTTATAAGTTATAAACTTATAAGTTACCTTATAAAACTTATAATTATAATTTTATAACTTATATACATTATAAACTTATTAATTTATAATGTTGTCATAAAAAAATAAAAAAAAAAAAAAAAAAAAAAAAATTGAAAACTGCACCAGCCCGCTGCCTGCCCGCAGGCCGGCACGTGGCCGGCACGGCACGAGCCCGCCAGACACGAGGGCCGTGCCGTGCCGTGGGCTGGCCTGTGAAAATGGCCGGCACGGCACGGCACGAAATCCTGGGCCCGCCGGCACGACCGGCACGGCACGAACCAGCCCGTGGCCCGCCAGGCACGGCCCGCGGCGGCCCGGCACGGCACGGTGCCAGGATTACACACCATAATCTCACTCCCTATAAATTCTCACTTCCTACACTCCCCCACTTGCTTCTCACACTATCCCACCACACTCCACCACCATGACACTCTCCCATCTCCTCCCTATAACCATTCTCCTCCTCTTTTACTCCCCTTCGTCCTCGGCCTCGCCCATTTCCGACCCCGCCATCCTCCTTCGTGTTAAAAACAACCAAATACTCGACCCTAGTAACCGCCTCTCGAATTGGCTCATCCTCCACAATGATCACTCCAATAGCACTAATAACCACTCACATTGCCACTGGACTGGCATAACTTGTAACCCCCTCTCCTCCGTTATCGCGGTCAACCTCGATAAACTCAACCTATCCGGCCCCTTCCCTTCCGGCTTCTGCCGCATTCCCACCCTCCGCAACTTCTCCATCTCCGACAACTCCTTTAACAACATCACCTCTCTCTCCCTCTCCCACTGCTCCCACCTCCACTCTCTCAACCTCTCCAACAACGACTTCTCCGGCAACCTCCCGGATTTCTCGCCGGAGTTCACTTCTCTGTTTTCCTTAGACTTCTCTTCCAACGACTTTTCCGGCAAAATTCCCCGGAGTTTCCGGTACTTATCCTCTGTAAAAATTTTACGCCTCTTCGGTAACTACCTAACTGGCCCTGCTTTTCCCGAGTTCATCACCAATTTAACTCAAATAACTCACTATGAGCTCAGTTATAATCTATTCGATTCTTCTGAGATACCGACCACCATTGCAAAGTTATCGAAACTCGAAGTTGTTTGGTTAACCGAATCGAATCTCACCGGAAAGATTCCGGAATCTCTTTGTACTTTACAAACATTGAAAAGCTTCGATGTCGCAACAAATTCTCTTTCTGGTGAGATTCCGCAATGTATCGGAAACTTAACGAAACTCTGGCAATTAGAGCTCTTTGATAACAAATTTTCCGGCGAGTTGCCGGAAAATTTGGGAAATTTGAAGAACTTATACATTTTCGATGCTTCTCAGAACAATCTCACCGGAACGTTGCCGGAAAGTCTCGCAGCTTTACAGCTAGGGTCGCTGAATTTAAATGATATTTTTTTAGAGGGGAAGATTCCGGCAATTTTAGGGAAAATAAGAACCTCTATCAGTTAAAGCTTTTTAACAACAGCTTTGCCGGCGAACTTCCGGCGAATTTGGGATCAAATTCTATATTAAATGAGTTCGATGTGTCGACAAATTATTTTTCCGGCGAATTTCCGACGACTCTTTGCAGTGGGAAGCAACTCTGGCAGATTATTACCTTCAACAACAGATTTTCCAGTAAATTTCCGGAAATTTATGGAAATTGCAGTTCATTAAGTTATGTAAGAATTCAAAACAGCAACTTTTCCGGCGAATTTCCTCAAAATTTCTGGAATTTACCTCATCTGGATACTGCTGACCTTCAGGATAATCATTTTGAAGGTACTCTGCCACCTACTATTTCTAATTCCTTTAATTTGTCAAATCTTTTAATTTCCGGCAATATGTTCTCGGGAAATTTACCGTCGGAAATTTGTGGATTGAAGAAATTAATTGAGCTTTCTTTGGGTGAGAATCGGTTTAGTGGAGAGTTGCCGAGTTGTATAACGGAATTGAAAGGATTACAGAAGATTGAATTGCAGGGGAATATGTTATCCGGGGAGTTTCCGATGAATGTGAGGTCGTGGGTTCAATTGACGGATTTGAACGTATCGAGGAATAGGTTTTCCCGGGGGATTCCGAGTCAACTTGGTGAGTTACCACTTATCTCGACTTGTCGGATAATTTATTTTCCGGTGAGATTCCGGTGGAATTGACTAAACTCAAGCTCAATGAGTTCAATCTTTCGAATAATCAACTAGAGGGACAAGTCCCTCCGGGTTTTAATAATAAGTATTGTGTTGATGGTTTGTTGGGTAATCCGAGACTATGTAGCTCAAATCTTAAACCATTTCCGTCGTGTCCTAAACCTATACCTGTGTCATTCTTGGTCTCTTTTTTATCGGTTTTGGGTTTTGTTCTCCTATCCTCTATTTCCTTGCTTTGCATTACCAAGGTCCAAACAGATGGTGAGTTTAAGAAAAGGCGTCCATTCAAAATGGTTTCCTTTCAAAGGGGTGGATTTAGTGAGCAAGAAATATTCTCTCGCCTTACAGAAGAGAATGTGATTGGGTCCGGTGGGTCTGGTCGAGTATATCGTGTTACACTCAACTCGGGTCGTAATATAGCAGTTAAGAAGTTATGGAGTGGCGAGGACAAGAACAAGGATATGGGTTTATTGTTCAAGTCAGAGGTTGAGGCCTTAGGGAGTGTACGTCATGTGAATATTGTAAAATTGTTGTTCAGTTATATAGGAGAGGGTTTTAGGGCTTTAGGGTATGAATATATGGAAAATGGGAGTCTAGGAGATGTTCTGCATGGTGAAAAGGGTGGTGAGATTTTAGATTGGTCTAGACGATTTGCAATAGCTTTGGGTGCGGCTCAAGGGTTAGCTTACTTGCACCATGATTGTGTCCCGGCTATCATCCACCGAGATGTAAAGTCCAACAACATATTGCTGGATGACAAGTTCCTGCCACGGGTTGCTGATTTCGGACTTGCTAAGCCGGTCATAAAGATTGTCAATTTATTGGTGGACCACTACTGTTTTTCTTTTGATTTAATTTGCTATATACACATTGTCTTCTTTTGCTTGAATGCTTGACATGACATGTGAACAAATACTCGATTTGTCGATTTACTTTGGTTAGGATCTACTGGCTATTCTTTCCATTAATTCTTTGATTTATTGTACGAGTATGAGTTTAAAATTAGTCGTGTTAATATAACTGGATTATTGCTTTTAACATAAATTAAGATTGGATTCGCCTCTAATTGTGGGTGGCAGAATATGGCTACACGCTCAAGGTGACAGAGAAGAGCGATGTATACAGTTTTGGGGTGGTGCTTATAGAGCTAGTAACAGGGAAGAGACCAAATGATGCATCCTTTGGGGAGAACATGGACATAGTGAAATGGATGACAGAAGTAGTGTTACAATCTCATGAGTTTGATCAAGCAAAGCAGCTGATAGACCCAAGAATGAATCCAGATACTGAGATACATGTAACTATAAACAAATAAAGAAGGTTATTGAAGTCGCGATCCTTTGTACATCGGCTTCCCCTGTGAACAGGCCAACCATGAGAAGAGTTGTTGATATGTTCAAGGATCAACTCACATTGACCGTGGATACAAAATGATCCTCTATATATTGTTTTCTTAGTTAGCATGTAGAGCTCTAGTCTGTGTCGGTGTGTCCTATTATTTGTAAAATTTGTCTAGTTCTCTTCTCTTTGAGAATTGTATATCTAGATTCTAGAATAGTACGTGCTAGAGATCTGTCCCAACTTCTAACTCCTTTGTACAAAAAATTGCTCAAAACATGCTACATTGCCTACATTGTGAATTATCCTTATCAGTCTATTATTATCTTCATCGTCCTCCATAATTATTATATAGAGTATTCCTCTATCGCGTGTTCCATTGAGTTTGCCTCATACCATAAATGACACAAGGAGTACTTACTATTTGAGTCTACTCTCTCATTAACTTGACCCAACTATTAACGTAAAAATAAGTAATTCGTATATGGGGTAATTTTACTAAGACGGAGGGATTGATCTTAAATGCAACATTCTCATATCTGATATTTCCATATATATTTCTGGTCATCTTTTGCTTGAAGTAAGGCCTTGTTTAGTTCAACTTATTTTTACTTATTTCAGAAAAAATAAGTTCAGCTCAGATCAGATCAGAAAAAATAAGTTCAGATCAGAACATCGTTTTATGTGCGGTTTTTTATCACTAAATATTCTTAATTTCGTAATGAAAAAAATTGTGAAAATTACATATTAATAAATTAAACATTATTACGAATCTAACAAGATCCCACTTGATATATTTTTTCCTTATAGATTATCGTACACTTAAGGTCAAAGTTTGGTCAAATCAGATAATTAGATCAGATCAGACCAGACCAGATCAGATCAGTAAAAATAAGGTGAACCAAACAAGGCCTAAGACTGAACTTGGACATTAAAACTCATCAAGCTATTAGTTTGTTGACACGGCCCAGCCCATACTCGTAATATTATATTATTATTCCCTGTGAAATATTGATAGGGGCAGGGAGTCACATGGTAGAAGTAGAGCTGTCAATTCGGGTAAACAGGTCGGGTTTGGGTCGGGTAAGTGTGGGTCGGGTCAACTCGGGTCGGGTCATTTCGGGTTAATGTCGTAACCTATACGGGTCGGGTTCGGGTTGGGTCATGCTTGAGTCGGGTAACGTTGGGTCATACATCTTATCGGGTTAAGGTCGGGTTTAGGTCGGGTTAATAACAGGTCGGGTTACATTCGGGTCGGGTGAATAATAGGTCGGGTTTAATTCGGGTTTTCACGGGTTAAAACGAGTTAGGGTCATTCTCGGGTTCGAGTCGGGTTCGGTTCAAGTCAATAATTTGCGGATTATAATCAGGTCGCGGGTCATTCTCGGGTTTGAGTCTGGTTCGGTTCAAGTCAATAATTTGCGGGTTATAATCAAGTTGGGCCATTTCCAAGTCGGGTCATTCTCGGGTTCAAGTCGAGTTCAGTTCAAGTCAATTATTTGCGAGTTACAATTAGGTCGGGTCATGTTCAGGTTCAAGTCGGGTTTGGTTCAAGTCAAAAAATTGCAGGTTATAATCAGGTCGGATCATTTCCAAGTCAGGTCATGTTCAGGTTCGGGTCTCAAATATTGGGTTAATATGTGTATCGGGTTGATTTCAGGTCGGGTCATATCAGGTTCAAGTACATATTTTGGGTCGGTTTGTTAACAGTTCATGTAATGACATTTACGTTTAATCATTATCAATTACTTCATTATTTATTGTAAGAAAAATAATTTCTGATAAGTCTTAATTCGAGGTAATAAGTTCTGATAAGTTTAGATTAGATCTACGTAATAAGTTCATATTAATTCCAATAAGATATGTTCAGTTTAGATTTTTAGAAGATAAGTTCAAATCCTATTCTAATCTATTCACATTGATTCTTCTCATTTTAGGGATAGTAATTTCAGATAAGTTCATATTCCAGATGACATGTTTAGATAAAATACAATAAGTTCATATAAATTTGGATAAAATAGGTTTAGTTTAGATAAGTTAAAATACAATAATTTTTTTTTCTAAACTTATTTTATTTGAAATTATCTAAACTTATTTATTTTTTATAAGTTCATATCCGAGTTCACGCTTTTTTAATGGCATTTTTTAAAAAAAATTTAAATGGCATTATTCAAAACATTTAAATAAGATTAAATAGGCAAATGAATAATAAAATTAGAAAAATAAAAGACCAATAAAAGCCTTTTAACAACTCTAGTTCGGGTACGGTCACCACTTTCTTGAGTCCAAACAAGTCAAGTCATGATCGAGTACAGGTAAATTATTTGGGTCAAATTATCGTCGGGTCATTGTCATATACTCATGCTCGCATTCAATCCTTATCACGTTCAATTCAATCATTATCCGAAATTATTTATTTATTTTTAACTTTTTTTAATTTGAATTTTTTTTATGTATAAAATATAAGATAAAACAAACAAGCATAAGGTCAAATAGTATTTGTAAACCGTAATTGACTACATTAATGCACATGCACCTACAAAGTAGTAGTATTCGTAAACCATAATTGATTAATTGAAATATAGAATGAACTTACACCTAAAAAGTAGTAGTATTCGTAAATAGTAATTACTAAATTTAAATAAAGAATGCACATGCATCCAAAAAGTAGTGGTATTTATAAATTTTTATTGGTTTTTTTGAGACATATAAATTGTAATACATTTGATAATAGAGAATTTTATTGAAAATATTTGAATAAGCTTAAATAGGAAAATAACTCATAGAATTAGGGGAAATAAAAAAAAAAAAAAAAAGATATGACGTAATCCTAGATTGCTAGTTAATTTCGGGCCAATAACAAGTCAGGTTGATTTCGGGTCGGGTTAGTGACAGATCGGGTTGATTTCGGGTCGGGTTAGTGACAGATCGAGTTGAATTTTGGGTCGGGTTAGTAATAGGTTGGGTTAAATTCGGGTTGGGTTAGGAATAGGTTGAATTCAGGTCGGGTTAAATTCGGGTTTTGACGGGTTAAAACGGGTTTGGGTCAATTTCGATTCAGGTTGGGTTCGGTTCAAGTCAATATTTTACGGGTTATATTCGGGTCGGGTCATCTCCAAGTCGGTTCATATTCGGGTTTGGGTCTCAAATACTCGGGTTAACTCGGGTCTAGGGTTGGTTTCAGGTCGGGTCATATCGGGTTCGGGTCATCATTTTTCCGGGTTTAAACGGATCGGTTAATAATCGGATTCGGGTCGGTATTTCGAGTTAGGTCAGCTTTTGACAGCTCTGGTAGAAGTGAGGATGGGATGGAATTGGTATCTTTGTGGATTTCTCTTTCTCAGTTGAAAAGATGAAAACTTGAGGTTGAAGCATTGTTAGAGACACTAAACGTCTAAACCTTTAGTGATTAAAAAAAAAAGGCTATACGGAGAAATGAACACGAAGTATTTCGTTGATAAAAATTTGGGTGGAGGAAGTCCTAATACATTATCGTTGGACACAAGCAAAATCGTATAACAACCTTTTGTACTACTGAAACTCTGAAATTCCTAATAGTACTACTGAGATTTTTTTTCCGTACTACTAAGAGTGTTTTTTATACTACTAGAATCATATATAGTACTACCGAGAATGTTAAGTAGTACTATATTACCTCTCATTAATACTTTCAAAATGTCATTATTTACAAAATTGTCATTGTTATGTATTTGCTTGTGTCTAACTGTAAGATCCTAGGAAGCGTTGGTTTGGGTGAAAAGAGATATTTGATTAGTTTATACTATTAATGAGTAATAAAATGTTTGGTTGGAAGAAGTTTGATTGAAAAATACTATGTATGTAAGATTCTGTTCACTTTACCTTATTTTTGTTGAACTGAAATTATTCTTGCTGATTTAAAATTATTTTTAATGAAGTGAAATTATTTTTGTTGAACTGAGTTTTTTTATTGATTTTCTATTATATTTTTTCTTCAAAGTTACTGAATTTTACTGACTGGATTTATTTTTACTGAACTGAAATCTATTATATGTTAACTATTACTAAAACAAAACATGTTGATGTCATCAATTTCCTAAATTGTCTAATGTGTCAAACTCTCATTAAAAATTTCCCTCCAAACTTAAATATGATGTCATCATTTTTTATTTTTATTATTTTTTTCCCTTTAATTTTACTTGTTAAAAATTAGGACCAAGTAGGTATGAAACTAAAAACCCGAAATTTGAATTTTTCATCAATGTTTTCTATACTCTATACTACTTTTGATTATTTCCAATACAACAATGTTTAATGGATATAGATAATATTTCTTTAGCTTCCACTCTTAACATATATACTCAATAGATAATGCAACATTAAATATATATTGTCTAAATATCATTATAATATATCTGTAATATCATATTGAATGTTATGATGTAGCATTAAAAGTAACCATTTAAAAAAAAAAGATTGTGTACATGTTTTTTTTTATATTTCTTAGCAAATATTTTTTACCCAAAAAAAAAAAAAAAAAAGTTGTCAACAACAAAATATATATACTTATAAAGGACCATGGATTAATTATAAAATACTTATCACCACCGTACAACGTACGGGTATTAATCTAGTTATTTTTACTTAATAATATTTTTTTAAGGTGAAGTGAACATGGCCTAATTTTGATGAAAAAAAAGGCGGATGTAAGAGATTTTTGTTTTAGATTTACTCACTTCTACCATAGTTGTAGGAAAAAAAAAAAAAAAAGCTTGTAATAATTATAGTTGAAAATAGTTTTGTCTACACTAAAGTTAGTGAAGTTTTCATTACCTTTACAAAAGGATTCCTGTATTGGCCTGGCATGGCATCAACCAAGGAAATTTTAACTATCGTCCTCCTAATAGAGGAAGAGGAAGACTTAGGGTGCGTTTGGTTCGCTGGTTTCAGGAAAGGGAATGAGAATCATTCCCTTTCAACCTGTTTGTTTGCCACTTT